TAGTGACTGTGTGTTTGTCAAGCACTCCGAGATGCTACCCCACGTGAAGGACATTATATAAATGCAAGTTGCTGTTATTGTTGTAACATCAGCTTATTCCCAATGCCTATCTTGGGTTACAGACCGTTCAGTGGCATGAAATTCTACCTCGTGCTAGGCTGCAACACTGTTTCGTCTCAAAGCGAGGACAAAAAAGTATTAAATTCGATCTTTAATTGGAAGCCAGCATTTTTTTTCCGTCCTAGTTTTCTAAAAAAAAAGGACCAAGGAAAAAGCAGCTTCCAAATGAATTTAAGGATCTCTTTCAATTGTATGAGATTGTAACTTCTCAACCAAATGGTCACGTGTGCTAAGTCTAGGCAAAATATTCGGGTTTCGGTAATTGCATGGGTGTATGCCTGCCACCCTGTTACACTGCGGGACTGTACAAAAACAGCAACGATTATATAATAATAATATAATCCTTATATTTCATACAGCACCTTATCACGTCGTCGAGATGTCTCAAACCGCTTCACGGAATATACCGTAAAGTGAATTGATCGTATAATTTATGGGAGAAACACCACAGATGATTGTGCGCAGCAGTGTCCCATTAACAGTCGAGGATTGAAGTGACCAATTTATTATTATTATTTTTTTTGGAAGGAATTATACCCGGAAAAGCGATCTGCCAATCGACTAACAACCGGATTCCTACTTACAGCTAGGTAAACAGAGGCATATATTTGCCCAACATTTCGCCCTGCCGGGAATCAAACCCAGGTCATGGATTGAGTGATCACATTTTTTTAATATATATATATATATATATATGCAGCGCCCAAGAGTGGGAAATGATGACATGATGAAGCAGGCTGATGTTAACTGAGCAGAGGGAGGGGCTAGTGACTGACAAAAAGAATGAAAGGACTCACATTTTTTTGTAGTGCTTCGCAAGTCAGACTTGGAGATTGGTTTATTTTTGTAGGCAAATGTAGCAGGAACTGAGGTTCTGCTGCATTTAGTTCCATCGAGAGATTTAAAAAAACCCGGATATCTCTGGTCCCTTGGAGTGAAGTTTGAAACCCATAGTGGGGCTCATTTGGGAAATTCCTTAATAAGGAATCTGAGTTTTGTGGAGTCCCATAGTTCAGTGGTCAGAGCAATCGGCACGCATAGAAAGCTAGAGGTCTCCTTACTCCACATGCCTCTGTTTACCTAGCAGTAAGTATGAATCCGGCTGTTAGTCGATTGACAGATCGCTTTCTGAGGGTAATAATCCCTCCCCCCAAAAAGTTAACTTGGTCACTGAATCCACGACCGTTTGTGGGACACTGCTGTGCACAATTGCCTGCTGCTTTTCGCCCGCAAAATGCACTTTACAATCCACTTTACGATACACCCTGCGAAGCGCTTTGAGACATCTCAACAACGTGACAAGGCAATATATAATGCAAGGATTATGATTGTTGTTATTATTTTGTGCAAATGATGATCGCAAACTAGGAATTGGAAGCAGGCTAAGCCAAGCTGTGCTTAATTGGTTCCATAGACAGATTCCTTAAAAAGAGTCAGTTGCAGGGTATGGGGAAAGGGCAGATACATGGAACTGAAAGGATTTCTCTTGAGGCAGCCGGCAACAGACACGATGAGCTGAATGGCCTTCTTCTGTGCCATAGATGTCTATGATGCTAAGTATAACTCACTTCCGGAATTCCCTTGGTTGACGGGAATTATAATGGAATTTCATGTTACATACTCCCTTTATGCTGACGGTGGACAACCTTGGCCAACAAAATAATCATGGAATAAACAAATTAGCATAGATTTATGCCCTAAATCAAGAAATATTCTTGAACCATTTATTTTGTTGGCCAATCAAAGAAGTTGCCACTGGTTTACACCCTATTAACTCCCTAACACTCTGATCTGCTCGTACCCCACTCCTCTGCTCTCCACTCAGCTAACACAGGCCAGGTCCACATATCAACCCCCCCCTACCCCACCCCACCCACGCCCCATCACTACCAGTGGCCGAGTCTTCAGTCACTACTCTCCATAAGGTATGAAGCTGCCTGGTCTCTATCCCTATACCTCGATCCCTCTCTTGGCTCCCTTCACCTCCAATGGTCTTTAAAACCTACTTCTTTGAACACATCTAATGGTCACCTTCCCTTGACCCACTTCTCCCTTGCTCAGTGTCCGACCCCACTAATTTGCAGCGCTCTGAGTCGTTATCCTGCCTGAAGAGTGCTGTATAAAAGCAAGTTCCTGTTGTGTGAAGGCAAGAAATGGAATTGCTTCAACAAAGAATCTCGCCTTGTTAATCAACCAAGGAATTCTGGTAAGAATGATCTCTGGTGATCGGGAGTAAAGTGTTGGGTATCTTTTTGAGTAAACTGCGCTGTACGATGAGTCCGAGGAATGATAAATAATCCTATCGAACCTTAGAAATTTACTCCACAGGAGAAGGCCTTGGCCCATCATGTCTATGCCGTCTCCTTTAAGAGCAATCCTTTCAGTCCCATTTACCAGCCCTTTCTCCAGACCCCTGCGGGTGACCCCTCCTGCCTCGTGGTCTGGGCAAGGACAATGAATGATGGGTTATTTCCTGCTTGCCCAGCAGGAGAAGGACTCAGTGATGCATAGAGCAGCTCCACCGCCTCCCGTTGCTAGTCTCTGATCTGAGCGGTATGGTACGTATTAAAACGTCCTTTATGTTAATGGTAGTCAGGCATTTTTGCACCTGAGATGTAGAATCCAGCCGGGAGAGAGGAAACAGAAGGGCTTCTGATTTAGCTTTGATGTGCAGGTTCCATGCAACGTCTAAAAAAACCCTGTTTGGGTCATGATTTACGGTGATATTGCTGTAAGGTGGCTACCATGTTTGCGTTCAAAAGCGCTCTGATATGCCGTCCAGCTTGGAGGGCGCTATATAAATCCAAGTTCTTGTTGTTGAAACACACGGGTCACTAGACGTTATAGTTTATCCTAGGATTATTCTTACCAGGATTCCTTGGTTGATTAAGAAAGCGAGATTCTTTATCGAAGGAATTTTCTTCTTCCCTACGTACAACAGTAACTTGCTTTTATATAGAGCCCTTCAAGTAGGATACACCTTTGAGATGTCCTCCCCATGTGAAAGGTGCTACATAAATGCAGATTGGTATTGTTTTGAGAGAAGACGGTTCAGAGGGGACCTCATAGAGGTGTATACAATTTTAAATGGGATTGAAAAAGTAAACTCAGTACTTTTGGATGTACCAAGACAGTCGAACAAGAGGACACACGAGGTTTAGAGTTACAAATGGCAATTCCAGGACAGACACCAGGAAGTTTTTCTCAATGCAGAGGGTATTTAAGAACTGGAACAGGGTTACCAGAAAATGTTGTCGTGGCCAGTACAATGGGATTCATTTAAAAAGTGGCTTGACGTGGCGTTCCACTGATTCCCTCCTCTCTTTCAAGACACATTTCAAAACTTATCTCTTTGACTGTGCTTTCGGGCATCTTTCCACTACCCACTTCCATCAGTTCCCACCCACAGCTTGAGTGCCCATCCAGATCTGTGAAAGCATTTTGGGACATGAAAGGCGCTGTATATAAATATAAATTGTATTTTATCCACTCAGAAGCAAAACTCAAAGATAAGCAGCTGCGACGGAGCAGAACATTTTCTGACCCAACCACTACACCAAGCCTGAGGGGGAACGGGATGGTAGAATAATGATTATTTGTATTTCCCTGTGAAGACATTAAATCAGTTCATGAGGGAAGCATTCAGAGCAGTTTATAGATATCAGAGGATGTGGTAGAAAAGCGGGGAGAAAATTTAAATTTCCATGATAATCGACATGCCTTTCAAAGCTGATCACTGACTGAAACTCAACTCATCAGTTCATTGAGTTGGGAGTTGAAGTGATCGAGTGGTTTGTGTGTTGGCCTGGCGCAGTGGTAGCACGCTTGCCTCTGAAGCAGAAGGTTGTTGATTCAAACGCCACATCGGGACGTTGAACTCACGTAGTCTAAGCTGACACTCCAATGCAGTGCTGGGGGCAGTTAATCTTTCGCCAAGACGTTAAACTGATCCTATCTGCCTGTTCAGGTGGATGTTAAGGATCCCATGGCACTATTCAAAATGAGAAGGGTGCTTCTCCTGGCTTCTGACTAACAATTTCCACTCCTCCTCAATTAAAAAAAAGACATTTACGTCATGGCTGTTCGTGAGACAGTGAAAATCTGCTGCTGTGTTCACATAGTCACTGCAGAAAACTGCCCCGAAGGATATCTGTATCAAGCACAAGTATTATTAGAATTCTTAAATTCAGTCTATATTAACCTAGAAGTCGGTTCTTTTTTAAGAACTGGAGAAAACCAGCTTCCAAATCAATAGCGAACGTTTCCACAATTCTGGGGTCAATCAACTTTGCATTATTTTGTAACGGAATGTCTTCATTCAGAAATCCAGTAAGGGGCTCCCTCCGGTAACCGAAGGAACACCGCACACTTCACAACCTATTCTCTCACCCCTCTCCCACCTCCCACCCCCTACCCCGAGAAAGATGGACTGAATTGGAGCAACGATAATAATTCTTGCATTTGATATAGCGCCTTACCATACCGTTGAGACATCTCAAAGCGCTTCACAAATTATATTATAAAGTAGATTGACCGTGTATTTTGTGGGTAAAATGCGGCAGCCAATTGCACACAGCAGTGTCCCACAAACAGTTGTGGATTGAGTGACCACATTTTTGGGAGAGGAATTATTATCTCCGGAAAGGGATCCACCAATCGACTAACAGCCAGGTTCCTACTAACTGCTAGGTAAACAGGTGTGTGTGGAGTAAGGAAACTTGCCTAAGGTTTCGCTGTGCCCGGAAAATCGGAGCCCGGGAATATAATGGTAATAATAGAGTGACTTGCGTTAAGAAACCCTCATTAAGAAGCGTGACAAAATCACGTAGCAACGCACATCCCAGAATAAATGAAAGAAAAGCTTTTGAGTGTTTCCTTACCCAGTTCGTTGCTGCCCTGCACGCACACCATCAGGAGGGCCACCACCACACAACAGGCAGACGTCACAGTGTTAGCCATCTCCTGAAACAACAATTGCACTTGTTAGTGTGGGTCAAAGAAACAGCACCCACATCACGAGTTACATCACAAGATCACACGATCAGTTTGGATGAAGAAAGCCCCTTCAGCCCATCTGATCTTAGGCTTCCACAATGCCCACCCAACCACTGTCCTCCTATCACAGCACACACCCTCCCTGGCAAACCTGTTCCAGTCTTTAGTGTAATAATAATAATAATAATCCTTGCATTTGATATAGCGCTTTTCACGTCTTCTAGACGTCCCAAAGCGCTTCACAGAATAGACTGTAAAGTGGATTGACTGTATATTTGTGGGCGAACGCGACAGCCAATTGTGCACAGCAATGTCCCACAAACAGTCGTAGATTGAAAATGACCAATTTATTATTGCTTTGTTTTTTGGAGGGATTATTATTAGGCTCTGTGTGGAGTAAGGAAACTTGCCCAAGGTTTCGCCCTCTGCCTGGAATTGAACTCAGGTCTCTCACTTGCAAAGCGAGTGCTCTAACCACTGAGCTACAGGACTCCACTTGGTAAAGAAAAACTTCCTGGTGACTGTCCTGAAATTGCAACTCTAAACCTATGTCAACTTGCTCTACACCTTGATGCATCCTAGAGTATTGTTCTGATATTGGATGAAAACACACCATTTAGCCCAACTAGTCCATGATAGTGTTTATATCCCACTCAAGCCCCCATTCCTCCTATTCCCCTTTCCTATACCCTCCTATTTCCCTCTCCTATTCCCCTCTCCTATTCCCTACAATTCCCTACTATGCCCTTCAAAGCTCCAGCATCACACTCTGAGCAAATGCAGCCTTCCTTACTGCCTCCCAGTGCAAGGAATCGTCTTAGGAAGCAAAGCCAAGCTAACAATAGTTAAAAATGTAACCAAGGAGTTCTGTGCTGTCCTCTGACACTACTCAGAGCACAGCACAGAACTCCTTGGTTACATTTTTAAGATGAAGGATTTGATAAGGTGGACGGGAATAGGCTGTTTCCAATTTTTGGTGAGTCCAAAACTAGAGGGTTATAAATATAGAGTAGCTAGTTGTAGATCTAAAGGAGAGTTTAGGAGGGGGTGGTGAGAATATGGTACTCACTGTGGGAAGCTGTGGTTGAAGCAAAAAGTATAAATCTATTTAAGAGGAAACTCGAAGGATAAATGAGGCGAAAGGAAGAGAGGGGTATACTCTTGTGGAATATAAATATTGGCATGGACTAGTTGGGCTGAATGCCTTGCTTTCATGCCATATCCCTTTATATAATAATAATCCATGCATTTGATATAGCGCCTTATTACGTCTTCTAGACGTCTCAAAGCGCTTCACAGAATATACTGTAAGATGAATTGACTGTATATTTTGTGGGCAAAATGTGGCAGCAATTTCGCACAGTGTCCCATGAATAGTCGTAGATTGAAGTGACCAATTTATTATTATTATTTTTTTTGGAAGGAATTACCCCCGGAAAAGCGATCCGCCAATCAACTAACTACTTACTGCTAGCTAAACAGAGGCTTGTAGAGCAAGGAAGCTTGCCCAACATTTCATCCTGCCAGGAATCGAACCCAGGTCTCTCGCTTGCGAGGCGAGTGCTCTAACCGCTGAGCTACAGAACTCCAATATAAAAAAAGAACATTTTTTATTAGAAAGCTGAACAAATCCAATGTATTTTGTTGCCTTTCACATCACATCTGTACTGATGGGTGATATTTGTGCCATTTCATACTAATAATAATCTTTACATTTGATACAGCGCCTTTCTTGTTTGGAGGACGTCTCAGAGAGCGTCACAAGATATACTGTAAAATGTAATGATTTTGTAGGTGAATGCAGCAACCAATTTGCACACTTCATGACACAAAGGATCATGAAGGGAACAACCAAATTTATTTCAGGAGATTGTTGGTCAGATTGAGAGAAACTCACTTCACTTTTCGAATAGTGCCATTGGATTTTTAACGTCCAATTGGACAATTAGATGGGACCTTGGGTTAACGTCCCATCTGAAAAACGACACTTCCAACAGTGCAGAATACCCCCAGCACTGCACTAGAGTGTCAGCCTGAACTGGGAGCTCAAAGTGCTGAAGTTGAGCTTGACCACATAACCTTGTGGCTCAGAGGCGAGTGAGTGACCGACTGAGCCTGCCTGACATGAGGAGTCAATACGATCCCCTCCCTTTAGGAAGATGGAGTCAAAGCTATGGCAGCCTTCCTTCAGAGACAATATTAGTAATAATAATAATCCTTGCATTTGATATAGAACCTTATTACGTCGCTGAGAAGTCTAAAAGTGCTTCACAGAATATATTTTAACCACAAGGTTATGTGGTCAAGTGAATTGACTGTGTATTTTGTCGGCAAAATGCGGCTGCCAATTGCGCACAGCAGTGTCCCACAAACAGTCATGAATTAAGTGACCAAATGTTTTTTTTTGAGGAATTATTAACCCCGGTAAGCAATCCGCAAATCGACTAACAACTGGGTTCCTACTTACTGCTAGGTAAACAAAGGTGTGGGGAGTAAGGAAACTTGCCTAAGGCTTAATCCCGCCTGGAATCGAACCCGGTCCTCTCGCTTGTGAGATGAGTTTACTTACCAGTGTGCTACGGGACTCCCTGATATCTACAGTCTCAAGCTGCTGCTGTGATTTAGTTGGGGGTATGGGTAGGTGGGGGTGACGGGGACGGAGGGGTGCAAGGGGTGAGATGGGAGATCGCATATTGATATCAGCCTGTTTGAGAAGTGGCAGTTCTGAAGGGTTTTTGATCGTCACCACTTCTAACACTGCCGCACCCGCTGTGCAAAGCTTTCATAGCATTAACGAAGATCAAAACCAAAGTGTATTGATCGCTGGAGTTCAACAGCCCCTGAAAACAGACTCGCACATCTCTTAAAAGCCAGGAGATGTTTAGATTGAGTCTGTAGTATTCCCGGAAAAAAAATGTTTAAAAAAATTGCATAAGTGGTATGACATATCTGTTCTGGCTTATAACATGCCTCCTTTGCATTTGATGACTCCCAGATGCTTAACCCCACTATACAGCAATACAAGAAAGCGGTAAATATAATTCTTATTATTATTCTCTAATGGAAAACATATTCAGTCTGCACTTTTAAAAAGGGGAAAGAAATAGTTATTCAAAGAACCTGAGAGTCCCTGGGCTCTGTCTTACATTTTATAGGCTGGATTCAGGCTGCTTTTACACAAGCACCAGTGGCTAGTAATGTAAGAAGATACACATAGGGGTCTAATTTGTGGTACTTCTTAATGGGATTTCTTTAATTAAAGGATCCGTATTTCGCAAACAAAACTCTTTTGGGAACCTGGAAGTGCGTCTCACCAACCCATGGGAACTCCACTCTGTTGTGAGCTACTTATTTTATATCAGCTGCGGTTGTTGTACATGGTGCAAATTTTTTTTACTACTACTAATTTTTTTTATTGTTATTATCCTTGCATTTGATAATAATAATCCTTGTGTTTGAGGGAGTCTTGTGCAGGACACCAGGAGAAAATCCCTTCGCTGTTCAAGTGATGCCCTGAGATGTTTAAGGTCCACCTGAATAGGCAGACAGGACCTTAGAACTGCAACGATGGCACTTCCAACAATGCAGAGTATCCCCAGCATTATATATTGGAGTGTCAACCTAGACTACAATCGTAAAATCCCATTATGGGGCTTGAAACCCCAACCTTTTGATTCAGAGATGAGAGCATTACCATCTGAACCAGACTGACACCCGAATTTGCACCATGTACAACAACCGCAGCTGATATAAATTTTCACAGAAAGTCAGCACCAACCCAATATCTCAGAAGCGCTGACTGGCAGACATATTTTTTGTGTGCCCAGTTATAAGCGACAAAGGACCTACTTCTCCTACCTGATAGTTCTTGATAGTCGCATGCTACAATAATGGAAATTATGATAGCAATTAATTCTGTATGGATTAGTCTACAACAGAGTGGAGAACATTGGGAACCTTAGATCCAAGGTTGCCTTGTTCTTCCAAATAAACTGTACTCACTATATGTCATGCCTCAAATTTCTCATCTACTGTATCCCAAATATTATTTTCTAAAATAAATGGATCTAATTTACATTTGAATGAGTCGACACTTTCGGTTTGGATCGTCTCCCAAGGGAGCCTGCTCTGTAGATTTACCACTCGCTCACTGAAATAGTGTTTCCACAGATTAGATTTGATTAGATTAGATTTACACCCCTTTTAATCACAGGCTGTCTCCTTTGATTCCAGTGTGGGATATGAGTTTATCAACCCAAACCCCTGCGGTATAACAGAATCAGCCACGGTGTGTAGTCACTTCTCCTTGACTGGTATGGAATGGGCCCTCTCTGCCCAGTGGGAAGCTCCCTACTCACCTAATCCCACAAATTTAAGTGTAGGTTGGCAAGAGGCGAGACTTGGGGACCTTAGCGTGAGTGTTGCAGCAGAGTTCGGGTTCAACCAGCAAAAAAAATGTGCAATTTGCCTTTGCAAAACCTATCTGGCTTCTTGCTGCTCGTCCAGCTAGAACCACCTGATGATAATAATAATAATGATCCCTGCATTTGATAAAGCGTCTTATTACATCTCAAATACATCTCAAAGTGCTTCACAGAATAATTTGTAAATTGAATTGACTGTGTATTTTGTGGGTGAAATGCGGCAGCCTTATTTACGTCTTGCTTGAGACATAATAAGACCCCCACAAACGGTCGTTGATTGAGGGACCAACTATTTTTTTGGAGGGATTATTACCCCGGGAAAGCGATCCGCCAATCGACTAATAACCGGGCTCCTAGTTACTGCTAAGTAGACAAAGGCGCATGGAGTAAGGAAACTTGCATAAGATTTCACCCTGCCCAGGAATCGAACCCAGTTCATCTCACTTACAAGGCAAGAGCTCTAACCACTACACTTCGGGACTCCTCATAACCTTACTCTTTAAAGCTTCAGCTTGCAGTGTTAAGAGGAGTTGAGGTGGGACC